TTTTTTTTTTTTTTTTTTTTTTGTAGTGGGAATCAAACTCAGGACCTTTCATTTGCCAGGCAGGCACAATGCCATTGAGCTAAATCCCAGCCCTCCTCCAACTTTGAAATTCTGTCTCTCCAGAATGTCTTTGAGATCAATGAATCCTTTGAATTGATAATTCTCAATTTCTCTTTCCTTCCTTTCTACAATAATTTTTTTTCTCTTTCGCCTATGCTCTACAAGATTTCACCAATGTTTTCTTCCAGTTGTCCTGAGGAACCTTTATTTTAACCATCATGAATATATAAGAATTCTTAATTTCTGAATATAGCTTTTAAAACACAAAAGCCACCTATTTGTAGTATCTTCCAAATTTCTTTTTGAACATTAATTTTAAATTCTCTTCTGCTAAATAATTTCAGTTTATTTCATCCTAGAATCAATTGTTCTGCTTAATTATCTTACCTGTCTTCTTACTAGTATTGGTTTTTCTTAACTTCCTGGAAACTTCCGGTTCTTTCTGCATTTATAAATAAATAAAAAATTAATTAACATACATAGCCAGAGAGTGGGTCCCTTACCATTGTTTAAGTTGGCTTTCCCGGTGGGCTTCTCTCTGATATGATACCTGGCTGTGCTCTCAGTCCTGGATAACTATTTGTGTGGACTAACCAGCTCACCCCAAGAGGAGACACCTGAGCTGTACCTCTTTACCCCTCTGTGTGCCAAATGAGGATGAACTTACTCTGGGACACTAATGCTCACACTATAAGACCAGCCCCTTTCAGGAAAGCATTCATTTTCTTTAGAGAGTACTTTTAGTTTGAGCTGGGTTGAAGGTAATAAATATTTCAGTTGTTGGTGGCTTTGTGGTGATAGGGTGGGTATGTGGGAGAGAAGAAAATAACTAGTGTAACTGCACAGTTCTGATCACAGAACTTCAATCGAGCCTCTGATTTCTTCCTATTTACCATCCTTACTCTCTGCTATAGTTGAGAACTGAATGTTCCCCAATGGCCCATGTGTTAAAAGCTTGATTTCCACGATGCGGTGCTACTGGGAGGGGATGGAACTTTTAAGAGATGGAGTCTAAAGTGAGGAAGTTAGACCACTGGGGAGTTCCTTTGTAGTAAATACTGGGACTCTGGCCTTTCTTCTCCCTTGCCTCTTTGTTCACTGAGTGCCTTGAAGTGAACAGGGCTCCTCTATACCACGTTCTCTCTGTGACGTATTGTGCTGCCACAAGCCCAAAGCAACAGGGCCAACGAACAATGGACTGAAACTGTGAGCCAAGGAAACCTTTCTGTCTTGTAAGTAATTTATCTCTGTTGATTTAAACACTAAGAACTGTATTATTGCATATAACAAAAAGTCCAAACAACTTCAGCTCCAAAATTTGTTAGTTCATCAGCTCGACAAACAGATATTTTTTTCTTGAGACAGGGTCTCACTATGTAGTTCTGTCTGGTCTTAAACTCACTACACAGACCAGGCTGACCTTGAACTCACAACAATTCTCCTGCCTCAGGTGCTTGAGTGCTGGGATTATAGGTGTGCACCACAACATCTAGGTTATTTTCATCTTTTTTTCTAATAATCTCAGCATACCAAGCCATTTATCAAGCTAGTGCATGATTTCAAGATGACTATAATTGCTCCAGGTATCACATTCTCAAATTCAAGTTCAGGGGCAAGGTCCCTTGTATCACTTTTTAAAAAGAAAATCTTTATTGAGATTATAATTTATATACTATAAAACTCACTATAAAGTAACCTGATTTCATGATTTTTAGTATTTTCACAGAATTGAATGACCATCAACACTGCCTTATTCTAGAATTTTTTTTATTATTCCAAAAAAATTTTGTACCCATTAAGTGTAACTCTCCATTTCCTCCTCTTTCCTTCAACTCCCTCCCCACCACCAGTGTCTAGAAAACACTAATCTACTTTCTGTCTCTATAATTTGCCTATTTAGGACATTCATATGTGAAGACTATACACTATGTGGCCTTTAGTATCTAACATTTCATTTAGCATAATGTTTTCATGGTTTATCTAAGCATGAGCCCGTACTTCATTCCTTTTTTTTAGAAGTTTATTTTTATTATGAATAAAATACACAAAGTTTTACATCATCGCTACTATATGGTTCAAGAAATGTTTCACCACCCAAAGCAGAAACCTTGTACCTATTAAGCCGTTACTGACCATTCCCTCCTACCTTAGTCCCATCAGCTACAAGTTTGCTTTCAGTCTCTATATACCTAGTTTTGATATTTGATATATAAATATAATATATTTATATTT